GGTTCTTATCACAATTTTTTTGATATGAGACCATCATCGGTACGAGGAGACTTCCCCGCAACATTTGGAACAGGCGAATGAACAGAACTGTGGCTGCTAGTACCAGCAGAAACCGTAGATGGCAAAGAGTCAGTCACACTGTTAACATTGAGATTATTATGCTTAACAACACCGTCATTATTTGAGGAAGACGATGGGTGGCTATTATAGGTAGGCTGAGTACGGCCTTTACTACGCATACGTTCATCCCGTATACGATCTCTCTCCTGTTTTGTAAGGGACGGACGAATATATATGCCCTTACTAGGGAAGAAACGTAAGCGGGGTGCACGTTTCAGAACCTCACTTTGAAAACGGCTAGTGGGCAACACGACCTTAACCAATCTAGGGCTGGACTTATTTGGCCTGCCCATACGATAAACACTATTAGGAAAACACTGAACTCCTAAGAAATCAAGTATTGCATTAGTACAACCAACATCGTGCTTCATGCATTCGAAAGTGCTCCTAGAATCACATTCTGTCATTCCAGATATGACAATGGAACGCTTAAGATCAGATTCGACACCAAAATCAGTATGAGAAAATCCTTGCGGAGGAGAAGAAGTATCACTATCGGACAATCCTTGAACTTTAGGATGAGGACTAAGAGAAAGCAATTTTTCAATTTGAAGCCTTAATGAGGAATTCTCTTCCCTGAGTTTTTTGTTCTCCTCCAGGATATCCACATTTCTTCTATTGATCTCTGTGAGTTCCCGGCGCGTCTCGTCCATAAATTCGATAATGATCTTCATGAACGACGGCATTTCTTTCTCAGCAGCAATAGCACGGAGGCGATCAAGTGCAGAACTCCTAGGTTGAGGTGACCATTCCATTCGACAGCGCTTAGCTGGAACAGACGAAGAGCGGGAAGGCGAAGAAATCATGAACGCAGTACAGGTCGAAAGATTATCAGCAGATCACGATCACTTGGGTGACACACAAGGATCGATCAATTAGTAAGCAAAACCGACGAAAAATTTACCGTTCCAAGTGGCGCAAAGAGAAAATACCAGAATATTTCACCCCCCGCCACAAGGGATGGACGCCTTGAGTGGATGATGAACAGAAGTAAGCGAGCCGCAGTATCAGAAATAGGAATAACTGAAGAGTCGTAATTGCCAGGCAGAGCGTACGTAGAGCGACCGCTCTCGGCGCATGCAGCAATCAGAGACGATTTGGAATATTTATTATTAGAACCGAATATAGGCGTCGGGCTATGCAAGGCTAAGTGCCCCATTGCAATGCAGGTTTTTGGTTATTAGTAGTTATACAAACTTTGAAGCGACTTGTTTATGGCGATCATTCACAACCGAGACTTTGTCAGGGCAATTGGCCTTCAAGATGAGTAAAAAACATAGGAATTTGGAAAAAGATTTTGATGGAGGCGGCGCACGAGCGGCAAATGCAGAATGCACGCGAAGCTGATTGCAGGCCGGATAAGAATTTCGCTCTATACTCGATTGTGAGATAATTTTTCGGAAATCTCATAAATATTATCACTGAGCGAGTGTGTTTTGCAACTTATGGTCTTAAACAGATGAATGCCTGAGGTGGGCTCTTACTGTTGGGTGGCAGTTTTCACACGCGCGTCAAGTGACTGCCTAAATCCCTACCCCCTACATGTTGGTTACGATTTCCCCTCGTGCAACAGAATTTCTCAATTCTCGCGGCAGTATAGTAGCGGGTAGCAGTCCCACCTTACATACATTTCTGCTCAAAAAATGCGGCGTACCCACCCTACTTGGATAGCACCCTGAGGTGTTCTAAAAGGGTGAGAGGTGCAGTAAGAAAATTGAAGGAAAGCTATCCGCGTCATGCTAAACCTACCTAGGCCCGCGCTCGAGCTCAAGGTCGGTCAATCAAAACACATTTGCAATAGAAAAAAAAGCGATCAAAAAACCAAGAATGTAATAAGAAACTCTCAGGGTTGTCAAGCCTTGTTGGATGCGCCACGCGCTCTACTACTTCCATTGGCGTTGCTTTGGCATGTTGAATGCGATTTGACCTACACAATGGCTTGCGGGGCCAGCCGATGTACAATCTTCTCCGGCATCTCTGGTACCGGTTGAGCCATTCAGGAGCAATGGAATGTTTGATTATTAGACAGCGATCGAGATTTGATCCCCCGGCCATGCGCGCGGTAAGCAGCGTCAGCAGCCATTACCCCCATCCGAAGCATTACAGGGCTACATCCAAAGAAATCCCAATTAAACGGAATATCTATACTATTGGGGCGGAAGTGGTGTAGTGGCAAGTGGCACGCTTACCACGCGAGCGGTCCGGGGATCAAATCCTGGGTCGTGAGTCGCCCGGGCCAACCAAGCCTTCCATCCCTCCGGGGTCGGTTAATTGGTACCAGACTTGTCTGGGAGGATAAAAACACTGACTTGTACATCGGCTGGCCCCCGCAAGTCATTGTATAGGCCATCGCATTCAAACGCCACTACGAATGTACAAATGGAAGTAGAATGCGTGCCGCATCCCAAAAGGGATTGATCAACGGCAAATGCTTTATCCTTTACCAGTTGGCGCCGCACGCATTGCGCGCGCAACACAGATCTGCGGCGAATTTTGATGGTGCGACGAAAATTTTCAAATTTGGCTTGATACACCACGAATATCTGAATTCTCAGCTAAATTCTATCCGCTCCATCATCGACGGCTTTCAACCTCTTTTTCTTCGTCAACCATTATCCTCTTTTTCTCGGTCTCCGGACTGCTTCCGGACAATAAATCTCGTGGCAAACTCCGCCTACTTCGGTGCGTGCCCGCCCACCAATAGCATTTGGCCCCCTTCCTTTCGCCGACCTCTACCCCTTTTTTCACCGGTCTCTGGGACCTCTTGTCTTATCCTTACGATCTAAACCATTGGTCGGTGTGTCAAGTAGACCAATACCGGGTAAACAGAAATGCGGCATAATTGTGGAAAACAAAGCAATCAAACAATTCGTTGAAATTACTCCAACGTATTTCTGTATGTTAAAAGACGGAGTGGTGTAGTGACAAGTGGCACGCTTCACCACGCGAGCGGTCCGGGGATCAAATCCTGGGTCGTGAGTCGCCCGGGCCAACCAAGCCTTCCATCCCTCCGGGGTCGGTTAATTGGTACCAGACTTGTCTGGGAGGATAAAAACACTGACTTGTACATCGGCTGGCCCCCGCAAGTCATTGTATAGGCCACATCGCATTCAAACGCCACTACGAATGTACAAATGGAAGTAGAATGCGTGCCGCATCCCAAGACGGGATTGATCAACGGCAAATGCTTATCCTTTTATCCTTTATTTTTTCCCTGGCGATAAGCTTTGCTCACGTAGACCGGGGAATGAGTTCTAAGATGAATGAATCATGAGGAATAGGTTTGGTCGTATAATGTATGCTATACGAAGTTATTACGTACCGACCAGGCCTGCTTAAAGCAACAATCCAGGAACGAATTCGCGGGTAAGGACCACCTATAATGACGTTGCAGGTGAGAAGTTGGTCAATGGAAAGAAAAAGTAGAAAAAAACGTCGGGCAGGGGCTTAGACAGGGACTCCCCCTGCCGTTTAGGGAGACGTGTGTTGGACGAGTTGTCCGAACCTGCCCGTAGTACATGCGCTCCAATTGCTCTGCTGGCAAATAGCCATGCATGCTTGCAAATACATAACTATTTGCCAGCAATCGAAATTGAAGCGCTTAAGTTGCGCTCTCATGGAATCGACCTGATACAGCGCGGCGGTCCCGCAACGACCGCTATTCGAGCAAGCGCTCTTCACAGCAGCAAGGAGGCGGGTCAACCGAGGCTCGGTTGACCCGCCCTTTTCGACGAACTTCGAGCCCTTCTCACGCATTTCAGAGGTGAGTTTTTACTTCAGTGACAGTTCCTTTCGACTTCACTTGGGCTGGGGCATGCTTCCACACCTCAGCTTTGGATTAGTTGAAACCCTCCCTGGACTGTTGCTTTAAGCCAGTGAAATCTCGTTTTCATTTTGAATATCGTCCTTATATTCCACCCTGGTCGGCACGAAAATCGGTCTTCTGTGTTGTGATTAGTCAGAAAGATAACCATTTTTGTGGACTCCCAATAGGTCCTGGATAAACAATCTTCAATTATCGCATACAACGAGAGAAGAGCGATTTCTCGAAATCCCTGCAGGCGATGTTAGAAACGTGACAGGGCTAGGCTTTGCTGTTGTCGTAAAATGGCAAAATATTTGCAGCGGTTGGAATAGAGGAATGCAGCAATCAGAAAAAAGAAGAAAAAGTTTTTTGAAGAAGGATAACGCTTTAGCGGTTGAAGTTTCCACGCTCGCATATGTTTTCCACAATATTTCTCCCCCCTCCCCCCCCCCCCCCCCCCACCCCCACCCCTCTTCCAAGAGCTCGTTCCAGATTTAATGTAGGGCTCCTATTCAACACGTCTCTATAGAACTTGCAAAACATCTGGTTTCCAGACAAGATCCTGAAGGAACTTGAACGCAATGATGCCTATATGATGAATTTCGGAGACTTGTCGGAACTTATAATCAAGGATCTCGTTTCCACACGCGAGCTTCGTACCAACTGATGCCATATTAAAATTTGCCCAGCATGGGGGAGACTCCATGATTCATGCCGCTGTGCAGACTGCATCGAACTCAAAATGGTTATGAAAGTTCGACAAAATTCATTTTCAGATCACATTTTGATGGCGCCATTTTCCAGAAATGAAGCCTATTTCCTGTCAGTCCTGCCTTGTAGAAAACTCCACACAGCACTGCTGATGAAGAAGAACATATTTGCTCTTCTATTCTTTCCGCATTACGTTGGAGAACACCGCTCTTAGAGCGCTTCATGATTTTAGGCGTGAAATAAGAGACAGATATTTTTTCTTGCAAATATAAAAATCAAATACTGACTGCTAAAATGCCCTGTGAGGGTTTCTTGTTTCGGTCAAATAGCGGATAAGACTTGGTTCGAAAACCAAATATGTCAAAAGTTTCAAACGTGAATGGATGAAAGTCTGCTTGCTTTTATATTCAGAGCGTAATGGCGTTTGTTGTCGACATGGTTCTAAACTTACTGGAGGACCAGCCGACCACACGTACTCCAAGCTATCAATAAACATCATAGCAGCCTTCCACACCGACGAAATCAGAAGCGTTTGCCACGAGAACATTTTGCACGATTCCAGCTCGGCGTGGTCCCGGCAGATCTTCTGAAGCGCTGAAGCACATCAGGGCACGTCTCAATACCCACGATCCATCTGCAATCGGTTATCTGATGTATTGCTTCCTAGGGACACAATCGTATAACTTCGTATAATGTAAAAAAGAAAAGAAGTTGGGGGAACCTCTACGTATGCTTCTACGGAAGTCTAATAGCATCAGAATACCTAGTTATAAGAACATGTACAGGGGTGGCCAAAAAAAGAGACACTTTGCCCATGGCGCACATCATCGAACTTTTCGTCGCACAGGGTGCCGGTGTTAATGAAAGTTTTACGGTGAAATATTCCTAGGTGTTCCCCCGTAAACAGAAGCAGGCCCTCCTTCACTGTCCCCGCCGTCTTTAGAATATGACGTCATCTGCCGCCACCGTCGAGCTCAACGAGGCTTACCGTAATCGCTCCGGCCTGAAGCTGCTCCATAATTTTCCATTTCAATAAATTTTCAATAGATTAACTGCTGAATAGCTTGCTAGAGACATAGCTGTGGCTATGCAAAACCACTTTTGACCAGCATTTCACGGACGTCGTAATGGTCTATGGTAACTCGACGACCTCGTTGAGCTCGTACCGTGAACCATGTTTCCGTGGTAAAAATCTTCTGATGTCGTCGGTGTAGAAACTACACCCACTGTAAGTTCAGATAATTAAGAGGTGCACTTCTCAATATGCACTTGGGGGCAGTCGATTAATTTAGTTCAAAAGGTGACTAATGCTGTCTGACTAGTAGAGTCGATGTCTCTTTCTTTTGGCCACCCCTTATAGCTCTCAAGGGAGCAATTAGTAATACTCTGCAAGCTGACCAGCGAATTCGGCAGATAGACGCATATTCTGAAGAAACGAGAAAGGGATTGACAAGGGCTGTCATGCTGTGTGTGCGGAGGGACAGGGACATTTCCGGAATATTTTCGCGAACTGCTCCCGTTGGCAACGGCATCTACGGGAATTGAACTGGTTGATATGCGTCAAGAGCAAGGTGTCTATTTCTTTTGTTCACCTCTGTAAAGATACTTGTAATGTGAAAAATTCGTGGCTGGCGTAAACACCGAATTTGTAGCTTGCGCTCTGAACTTGCCGCAAACTTCAATCTCAATTTCCCTCGTGTGAAAAGACAGTATGCCACTGATTCGCGAACAAGTATCTATCCGTTGCAACTAATGCTCGCACTAACCATATTTGAATGAATTGAGCCAATTATCTTATTTAATTTTTTTTTTTAGGCATTTGTTAAAATAATTAAATCGAATCAATACCAAGAAACAGCCAGATAAACAGCACAGGAACTCATAAACTAATTCTATGGCTATTACGAATACTGCCTACAAGTAGCTTTACTTGAATCATAACGCTAAAATCAAATTAATACTGACTACCTTCCCATTCGGATATGTAACTTTTTTAAATGCCCTTTTCGTTTTCTAACAATGTTAGTACTTTCAGACAAACACGCCATGTACCACGGGTCCCTCACTGTTATGTTGTCATTTCATTTGCTTCTCAGAGGACAACTAAGCACCGCCTTCCGAACCACCAACAGCTGACTATCAGGACAACTGCAAGGGCAACGCACAATGTCAGGCGAAGTCTGGGGTCCGATCCGAGGGCGTCCTTCAGCGCGTGACGATCGTGTCTCTAATCCAACAAACTTATCCGAGACACGAGGAGGACACGGCCTTGAGGACACTGGTCAAGTCAGAATCCACTTCCGCCCTCGCCATCCCGGAACTTCCCCCATCTTCACATCTGTCTGCTTACCCTTCAATCACTGAACGTCAGGTCGCCATGGGCGAGGGAAGGGGTGACATTAGCACACGTCTGGACGAAATCGAGGGAATGTGTTTAGAAATGACAAGCAGCCTCATATATGCACATCAGTATGCTCTTTGCGATTATGGGCCTATTAAAAGCCCTAAGCGTAAGCTAAGCACTTCATCCGTAAGCCGCTACGACAGCCTTGGCTTTTCGCATACGTCAGAAATAATGCTATCAAATGCCATTCCGTTAATCAATCTCAATGGGCCCAATGCTGATGGAGTGCGACCATTTAGAACACCCAATGAATTTGATCATGCCGCTAACGATTTTTTTGCCAAATATTGCAATGCAATGGAAGAGCCATAACGGAGTCCGCACCGCCAGGGATGATTCCAAGTTTGAAAAAACTCGGTAGTCGTACATATTTTAAACACGTTATTGCTCCTATGGTTGGATCGTGTATGTATTATCACATCTCGGACAAGTCCCTTACGAACGGAGGCAGAAAATAAAATATTGGACTCCATTTTTAACCAAGTTATTTATATCGAGTGCAAATATTGTGCAAATATTGTGCAATATTCGAAAATATTGTGGTAAATACATTTACGTACAGTCTCTGATATAAAGATATGAGCTGAAATGCCTTCTTGCATGAGGTGACGAACACACATTGACCGTTCTCTGAAGTAGTGTCGTTTGTTCGTTGGTCAAAGTCCAACGATGAGGAGCGAGCTATTTTGTGATTGAAAGAGGGGTCCCGTGCAGGGTCAGCCGTTCTTCCGGCCGGGTCAAACAGTAGGAGGTCGCTTATGAAATCGGCCTGATGCCGATATTGACCCTGGTCGTATACGGCTGGGTTGGGTTTCAAGTGTAGTTGAATTGGCCCTCTGCAACTAGAGATGAACCCCAACCCTAACTAACGCAATCCCTTAGCTCGATACAAAGAGCTTGGCCTCCGAAAAGCACAGCAAACATTTTCTTCTATTATGAAGGCTCAGAAAAATCCCACGCTTTTGCACGGAGATTTGTCTTTTCTTACCCTACATCCTACTCCCACATGCAGCAATCAGATACTGCAGAACATTGACGAAAAATTTGAAATAGAACATATTTTGAAAGCTCTTTTCAACCCTTCTACCGTTTCCGCTGCTGAGCATACTTCGGAAATTCTTGGAAAGTTAGAATTACGCTTCAGTTAACAAGGAATGGTCAATGTCGTGCCGCGCCGTTTAATGAGGTGTAGTTGATGCACAGCGTCTGTCGACGGACTGATGCTCAAAATCCGATTTTCGTTTATCGCCGAACGAAATTCCTGAAACGAATTATGACACTGTCGCTATCCACTCAACTGGGCGACCTCTACCGCCCTCCCCCCCCCCCCTCCCCCCCCATCCCACTTATCACACATAAGAAGAATCGCGGAGCATTTCGCGGTTCTTTCAAGGTTGCTCATACGAGCCCAGAAAGCGCTATACTGCGTTATTTTGTTATCGTTCTGTTCGTTCGTTCTGTTTTTCACGCGAGCCAAGTGGGATAGGGGGATGTAGAGGGCACCACAGTGAGAAGAATCCCTCATAACTTCGTTCAGAGAATCGTTCGGCAAAAACCGAAAACGGATTTGAGCTCAGCGTCACAAGACGCGTGCAGCGGACTACACCTCATTGCAAATGGCCGGACCGACCAAATGACCATTCCTTGTAAGATAATGACAAGCCAGTTTGGAAAGCGCAACATGGGGTCATGGGTAGTATGGAAACAAGTCAGAAACCATTGTCAAACTTTCAGCCTCGCGGTCATTGCAGATATCGGCTAACGCATCTCCAGCTCAACACGTGTATAGGCGTGCTGAAAACTATGGTACGTATACCATGAAAAGCTGAGTTGGAATGAAATGGTGCCCCGGTAGCGTAACTGGTAGCGCACTTGCCCGGAAAGCGAGAGGTGCGGGTTCTAGTCCCGCCTGGGGCGAAAGTTTTGTTCACAACCCAGCATTCTTATGAAACATTCGTAAGTATGGAAATCGTTCAACGGGTGGGGAAGAGAGTGCTCTGTGCTGAATCCGAAAGTTGACTAACGAAATGGTTACCCCTTCCGTGAATGTGATGGAGTTATTACCTCCCCAATTGATCAATAGGCGTTTCACAGGAAAACATATGGCCGCTTGTCCTTTGCATCGATTTCGTTTCCAAAGTGCATCTCCGTCAATAGTCGTCCTTTCAGTCAGTGCATTTTTCGGCACGTACGCCCGCCCTTACCAACCCGTCAGCACTAAGGCCTATAAATACACTCGAGTTCTTCTGCGCTATTCTGTCTAAGTAGTCTTCTATAAATCCCCACCCCACTTGCCACTAATCCGTTTACAGTTTCGTGTTTTCCAATTAGAAGTACATCAATGTGTTGTTGTTCCAGCGATTCTTTTTAGCAGAACGAAGCGAACGGCCGATGCAGGCAAACAGTTTTTCTGTTATTTCCTTTTGGCTCTACTGGATCTCGTGAATCTTCTCGGGCCGACGGAATTGTTTCTTTCTCCTTGCCTCACGTCTCGATGATAGCTCTACTGGAATTGTTTTTCTCGCTCTCATAGGCAAACCGTGTTGTTCAAAAACATCGCAATCAGCACTCCTCCCCTCTGATCCTACCTCTTCCTTTCTCTAGAGGTCTCCCAAATCCTCATATTGGCCTTCTTACGCATAACCCAATGAGCAGCGAAATCTACCTACATATCTTCTCAAAACTGTATGGCTGTAAAGTCAAACCATTCGCCAACGATGATTGAGGTTTAATTCCTAACTGAATTTAAAAACTTACTGCTTTTATAATTTAATTCTGATTTTTTTTCCTTTTTTTCGTTCTCTTTCCCACGATTTTAAACAAAATGAATTCACAGCTGGGGCAATGTTGTCGCCCCACTTCATGCCCTTATCATTGACGGAAACTAAAGACCTGGAGGGCGTTCATGAAGATCCTCTTGCGTGAGATATGTCATGGGCTAATTAATAAATAATGGTATATAAAATCTATATCTTTTATTTAGCCATCTGTAAGTATTGCATTTTTGTGGTTTGGTCTCAGTGCAATTTTCTGGAACTAACCTGGAAAAATATTATGTGCATTTAGTGGCAGATCGATAACTGTGACTTTCACACAGGAAATCATGTTAAATTTTTAGAGCAGGAAGCGCTTAGAGTAGCTGCGGCTCCCCAATGGCCTCACATTAATATGATGGAGATGCAAGCTCTGAATTGCGTCTATGACTCAGCCAAGTCATCGTTGTGGGAAAAAACATCGAAAAAGAGTAGAGAGGTCGCAGAGCTGTCCGTGGAGTCACTGGCTTGGACGTACGAATGAAGAAAGCATGAACTTTCTTGAAATTTCCCATAAGGGCGCGCATAAGGTAATCTCACCGAGGCTCAAGGAAAGCTGCTCCAAAATGTCATCGTGGGAGATGCTTTGAATTTTTCCATTGGAAAAATATTCAAGATCTGAAAAAATAAGAGAATATTATTCAAAATTTTTTGATTTTGTTTGAAATCATTTCTTTCATGACTCACATACACACACTATTTAGGCAAAGTGAGTTTTCAAGTAGGAAAATATAGGGCTTCTATTTTTCCAATTTCCAATCCTTTACTAGTGAAAATGTAGTCGAATTCAGTGTTCCGCTTCAAAATGAGTGTCTAAATTTCCAGTTTTTTTAAATTAAACTGATATCAATTCTGCCTTTCGCACAACGATTTTTTAAACGGGATTATGAATCAAAAAAGCACGGCGGCAGTGGTCGGGGGCTCCACTCGAAAACTCCGTTCCAGGGATAATACATCAGACTTGAAAATCGGATTTGAAATAAGCGCTCCAAGTGCGCAGAGAAATTCACTTACATTCCATTCTGAATAGCCATGATGACCTGTGTAGTAGTCTTTCCTTGTTCTTCTCCCTGAGTGCAACTACTGTTGAGAATGCGCTTTCTGTTTCCCCTCGTGCGCCTTGCCGCAACTGCAGACTTGGTACGTGGCATCACGTGGCATCAGCGTCAAACGTGTCTCATAGCATGTGGTATCGATTTTTTATCAAGGCACGTGTGCCTCATAACAGGTGTGTCCGCGAATCGAAGTATGTTATTATGGTGCTATTTGCTCTGTAGTGGCTGGACAGCTAAAGTACATCAGAAATGTCCCCTGCTTTTCCGCATATCAAATAACTTTGCAGGACTCAGATATGTATACATTACCCCTTGAATCTCCAAGCAGTATTCCATGCTATGCCACTGACAGGGGCGACAAGAGGTCCATCTGTAGTAGAGGGTGCTCGTCTCCATGTCAAGAGATATTGATCTGATTTCTAATCCTGATCATTCCTAAGGGTGGTTCTGGTTTGAGTCCATACAATGAGGTCCGCTGTAGTTACTTCTCTGCCTGTATATCCCACGACATTGCGGGTAGTCTAGTTTGATCTCCAACTCGGTGGTCTTCTGGGGCAGGCAGAAAATCGATCTTGGAGGCGAAGTACCGGGATAGCAATGCCGGTGCCCGCCCTTCTCGGGTGGTATTTGCCCGTGTGTCCTGCGCATGTACTTTTCTCGTCAACACACTTCCCATCCTTCTTTCGCTGTTTTTGCCCTTACCGTCGCAATTCTCAGTTGTAGGGCAAGTCTTGCTATCGTTAACGCTCGACTGAACCTGTTCTTTACTGTGAATAGAACAAATCGACTTATCAGCTCTGAGGATTTTCTGCCTTGTAAAAAATGGATTTACTGCAGGGAGGAGCGACCTGTCCTTCTGTGTTACTCTCACTGATTGAAATAGACCCCTTTCCTTTTTCACTGTTCTATTTTATCTGCCTCCCCCTAACTTTAGTTTTCACGGTGGCCAATTTGTCGCGGCATCTGCCCTCAAGACAAGGCTAAAGCTTCCAAATTGCTGCAGGGTGAGGTGCTCCTTTTTATGCGCTCTTAGAGAAAAGGAGAGAATGGTGCTATACAAGTAGGGTGGGCACGCCGCATTTTTTGAACAGAAATGTATGTAAGTGGGACTGCTGCCCGCTACTATACTGTCACGAGAATCGGGGAATTCGTGAGCCAGGGGGAGTGTAGCCAATCTAGGGGGTGGGGGGTGAGGGCAGTCACTTGACATGCGTGAAAAGCTGGGCGTGCCCACCCACTTGTATAGAGCTGGGAGAGGTTCACCAAGTCCTTGTAAACTGTCGTATAGCTGAGTTCCGTGTTATGCTGCTGTCCAATTTATAATACTGATCATTAGGAAAAAAGGTAAACTGGGTGGTTACTTGTTTTTGTGCAGGCGCGAAACTCTCATTCCAATATTGCCCGAGTCGTCTAGGAGACAAGTTTTTGCTCGAATTCCTCATGATCTTTTGTCGAGTTCCGAAAAATGCGCCAGTTGGGGGATATCTGAACCTCGTATTCCCAGCGTTCTTCGGTTATTATGTTTACTTATCGTCATTTTTTACCATCGTTATTCATGTGTGATCTGAGGGTGTGTGTTTTCTATCCTTAGGCGATGCTTCCAATGCAGCGATGCACACACCCACGCTGACCAACGCCTGTGTTAATATCAGTTTTCAGTTCTTTGTTTTCATTCCTTCGACTCGGTTTGTCATGTCCTTGTTTCTAAGAACACCCTCCTGAAATGTCTTTCTTTGACGCGGTGTCTCATTTGATGCGCTCGTGTTTTCCCCATTTGTGCCAGCCGTACTCAATGTTTTGCCTGACATTGAGAAAACACATAGCGGCAATGTCACACCTTCTTAAGAGGTACTAGATGAAACAATTCGGTGCTATACAAGTAGGGCGGGCACGCCGCATTTTTTGAACAGAAATGTATGTAAGTGGGACTGCTGCCCGCTACTATACTGTCACGAGAATCGGGGAATTCGTGAGCCAGGGGGAGTGTAGCCAATCTGGGGGTGAGGGGGGGGGGGGGGAGGGGGGGGAGGGGGGGGGGGGGGGGGGTGAGGGCAGTCATTTGACATGCGTGTGGAAGCTGCGCGTGCCCACCTCACTTGTAGAGCCAGCAATTCAACTGACTCCCAACTAACTTTCAGCCGTGTGTTCAATCAGCTGCAAGTTCACTCTTTGTCGTGCGTGCAGTGCTCGTCATCTTTCACCTTTTTTCTCTTGTTTTCCTCTGTGAACCAGGAAGTAATTGCGGGCTTGATGGAGCATTTTCACGAACACCTCCATGTACCTGAAGTTTAGTACGATTTCACTCGAATATTATTGGATATGACAGTGTAGCGCGTTTCTTGAAGTCCCAAGTCCAATTGCAATCAGAATTAAGGATATCTTTTTTCTGGGGCTTCCTACAATCGAGGTTCAAATTTTTTTTTTGATCTTTTTGATCTGTGCCCAATTCACAAGGTGATACAGGACCTGGGTGGGTATTTTTTGCTGTTTTCAGTTTGATAAAAAGGATAAAGCATTTGCCGTTGATCAATCCCTTTTTGGGATGCGGCACGCATTCTACTTCCATTTGTACATTCGTAGTGGCGTTTGAATGCGATGTGGCCTATACAATGACTTGCGGGGGCCAGCCGATGTACAAGTCAGTGTTTTTATCCTCCCAGACAAGTCTGGTACCAATTAACCGACCCCGGAGGGATGGAAGGCTTGGTTGGCCCGGGCGACTCACGACCCAGGATTTGATCCCCGGACCGCTCGCGTGGTAAGCGTGCCACTTGCCACTACACCACTTCCGCCCTTTCAGTATGATATACTCTAGAAAGAGAGGTGGGTTCAAGAAGATGTTGCTCACCCCGCCCAAAACTAACCTGCGTACAAGGAACGTACTTTAAGAGCGGGTATTCGGTCTTACGGCTAGCCTCATAAAGAACACTGTAACGAAGTCTGGAAGACATAAACAGAAACAAGGACGTTGTGAAAATTGCCACAGCTCCTGGGTTTCTAGCATATGTAGAAAAAATCCAATTTTCCTAGTTATGTTGAAATTTTTTTCAATGTTGAAAAAGTTTATGGTCTTGCAAAACATTGTACCTCATGTTTTTGGTTAAAAAATAAATTTATTTTAAGAATTTGTAGAAAAATTGACACTTGCCTAACAGGTTGTGAAAGCAGCGCGAAATGGTTAAAGCTCCCCAAATTGGCTATGTTTGTGTTCACAAAAGAGCAATGGTTCCTTCTAGCCCATCCAACGCGGTGTGGTACAGGTCTACGGCAAATTTCTGTGCGTATGGGCATTCATATTTAGAGGCATCCTAGGGCTCTAAAACCTATTGTCGGCGTCTTCTCGTTATTTTTTGAAATTGAATGCGTCTCCTCTCGTTGCCGTAATTGGTGGCCACCCGTACGTTACTGTGCTGTCGTCCTTAGTTTCCTCATTTCTCGTTAGTTTCATGCCTATTTTTCAGATTATGTCCATTAGTCGCGCCGTTAACTGCTTGAAGCCAATCCGCACTCGGATTCCTGGCTATTAGAAGTGCTTCTGCAACAACTTCTGCACCAGGAAGTTCAAAGGTACAGCTGCAGAAACCCGAAGGAGAGGAGGTGAGCGTCGTTTTTCACTTTCGAGTTGTTCAAAGCTGTCAGGTGGTTTTACACAACCACTTCTTGAGTGCATTTGAAATTGAAATATCTTGCTTGTGTTCGCTGTTCCGAAAGTTTGGAAGGCACGTGACAGCTGTCACCAAAGCTGCTTGCAACTGATGTTCTGTGCTTTTTATGAACTATGAGAATAAAATGAAGCCTCTTCCGTCATTTCGTTTATTCTCCTTCCTATGGAGAAGTAAATAAGTTCCAAGAATTGGTTTCTGTCTAGGTTTCTTTCTATGTTTTCAATCTTCCTGCGGCTTTTTTGTTCAAAAATCGGAAAGGGGGACCAGATTATGAAGCATTCAAAAACACACAATAGAAAATGAGCTCAAATTTTTTGATCTCTCGTGTTCATTTCTGTATAAGATCAATTTCAAGAGGTGCTGAATTCAATATGAATTTCAGGGTTTCTTCAGTTATGGCCGAAACTATTCACGCGATCCGAAATATAAAGGTGTGAGTAAACCACTGCAGGGAGACACTCCTGCACAGTAAGTTTATTTTTTATTAAATTTTTTCTTTTTGCGTGAATTCTTAATATTTGATAAAAAAAAGTAGGGGGAAAATATCCGGTATCAAGTAATCATTATTTCGAATGTGCCATGCATTCTACTTCCATTCAGAATGAAGTGGCAATTCGAATGCTGTCACTTAGTGCTTTGACCCTTCCAGACATGCCTGACTCCAAGTATCTGATGTCTAACAATAAGCGATTGGCCTGTAGTTGAGATAAGGGGGGGGGCTGAACATACGACCCAAAATATGATCACTAGACCGTGCGCATGGTTGGGCGCCTTTTATCATTACGTCAGCTCCATTTTCTTGGTGGTACCGGCAACCGGTTGTAAGAAGTTGAGTTACAATTTGCATACTTATGTTCAGCATATAGTCAAGTTGGTTCCAACTCGTGGGTAGAATTTCGTCTCTTTCTGGGGACCATCTAATTTTCCGCAAGGCGGACATTATGTCTGAATGCTACGCACCTGCGATTTTTCATTGTACCTACTAATTTGTGGTGACAGAGCTCATATGCTTACACATGTCACTCTGGCATTTTAGGTGGAGATAGGTTGCCTCCACGTTCCTTCAATTTCAGTGTCAGACACATGACGGGATTAGTCTCCTGATTACGTTCGGAACGACGCTATTTTGCCACCATGAGATGTAGTGGTTATCGGGAAAACTGTTGAGCTAAAAGTTATCCCCTCCATGGTAGTATTGCAACGAAAGGGGAAGGCTGACGGGTGGGATAAATACTAGTTGGTATCTACCGAAGCAATCTCATGCTATACCTTTGATGGTGCCAAGCTCAAGCGAGGTTAGCCGGTGTAGCAAAATCATTCAACATAAAATATTTCCCCTACGGATGTCATAGTGGTCCCATCAACCCTATAGATGAAGCGCACAGGCAATCATTTAGTATCAATTCTTCCCATGTCATTTTATTTCTGCCTTGGCTTTTCCAAAAGGCTAGAGAGCGGAATTGTGTTATGATTAAGTCGCGCTACTTATCACGTGCACTGTTTGGGCACGGAGTCTGGGTCACCGTTTAGGCCAGGGTCGGTTAGTTGGTATAAGAATTGTACAGGAGTGCAAAATCAATGATTTGGGCGTAGGCCTGCTCCACAAAGCACTGTATAGGCCGAACCGCATCTAAAATGCCGCTACGATACTGAATGGAAATCGAATGCATGGCGCATCCCAAAAGGATTGATCAACACCGAATATTTTGTCCTCCATGCTTACTGGGACTGGACTCCAATCGTCTGTAGTTACCGGGATTTTCCCGAGTGACAATAGGAGCGATTTTTTTTGTAAGATGAGAAATACAAACTGTGGTATTTAGGGTCGCTTGCTAGTAGGGAAATTCCTTGAAAACAGAGTTTGCGATGACAAGACCAGAAAGCAGGGTAAAGGAGGCTAGTAGTGCAGGTTTGAAGAAGAAAACCGAGAAAAAACGACCCAGAACCCTTGTGAACTCTCTTTTTTTGCCTACCGATTTGCGCGTTAGGCGTGTCTCGTTGAAGCTGATCTCATCAACGCTAACACCCTTCTGCTAGAGCTGCTCGAGTGAGACGGCCAGGTGGTCGGCGGGCAGCGGCGCGATGCGCTTATATGGCCCTTTCAGGTTGTGGGGTCATACCGTTTGCTGCAAAACCCGCTTCATTTCGCACGCTTACGGGGCTCACCTCCCTTCCTAAGGAATATTCCCCTTCTTTGACTCCCAATTTGTCGTGAAATTTCTTGAAGTCGGAGCGATCTCGCCTTGGAAGATCCTCTTGCTATTCCTTCTGTACAGACCCCTTCAACTTTCACCACCACTAATCCCCCTCTGAACTCCTGGATATGACCCTGTTCACTCTCTGGAAATCACAGACACGAAGCCTCTCGTTGGGAATTTTCCACGGACGTGGCCGTGGCTAGCACCTTGCTAAACGGAAGAGTTTTGCTTAGTAAGTTGAGGTTCTATGAAAAATAGGGGTAGAGAAGAAAATGGAAAGTATCACAGAGTGGGTTGTGTTTCAAAGGGAGAACGAGGGAGAAGAGTCTGCGCTGATGAAACCGACATGTGGAGGGAAAAAATGATCTAGTGAAATAAAGATGGATGAGGTACAGAAAATGATTAACTTTTCTTCAGGTTCCTGTTCCGTCGCCTTGGGCATGCCTACGAAGTATATCCTCTTCTTTTCCTCGCTGGATTTTGGTTTACAATTTTCTGTGCCACGGCGTACTACAGCTTCACGAAGATTGAAATTTGGCTAGATAGAAGTAAGATTTACTGTTATTTTGAACACTTATACATTCTATTGATGTTGTTTATTTTTTGCTGTTAATATTTTACATTTTATTTTTCTCATGATTTTCGCGGTTTGCTGGAGTGTGCTCAATGTTTTTATGCAGGTAAAT